GAAATCTCAACAGAATGCAGAAAGCACTGGACGGCCGTTTCGTCCTATATTTGGGACTCATCAGCAGTGCGCATCCAGGACCGAGAATTGAAAGCCTGACAGTCATACCAACTGTTCCACTGGGGCTCGGTGACGAAGAGATTGTACCGCTCGCTCACATATTGCGTGGTGGAGAGAGCGGCGCTATGTTGAGTCTGATTTGCAATCTCTTCGTCAACTGTCAGGGTTTCAATTCTCGGTAGTGGATGCACTGCTGATGAGTCCCAAATATAGGACGAAACGACCGTCCAGTTCTTTCTGCATTCTGTTGAGGTTTCTATACCTGATGAATAATTAATATATATATATATATATATATATATATATATATATATATATATATATATATATATATTCATATATTTCATATATATATATATATATATATATATATATATATATATATATATATCAGGCTGTCCATCATGGCTGACGACGATGCGTTCCTTCCATCTCCGTCCATCTTCTGTGGCCTGCCAAATAAGATAGCAGCCCAATCCGTGAACAAGTTTTCGGGCAGGGAAACATATCCGGTGTGGAATTGATAGGTTGCAGAAGACGCTGGCGTCGCCTCCATTGGAGCGCTCGTCGTCTCTCTTCCTCGAAGTGCGTCATTCCGGCGACGCCGAGAGACCGCCAGCCGATCTGATCCCTTGCGAAGTTCTCAAATTGTGTTGGGTCAATATTGCAGGAGACAAGAGCACTCTTAAGGCAGTCCCGAAATCACTTCTTTGGGCCTCCACGTGGGCAGCTGCCGGTTTCGATCTCTCCGAAGAATGTAATTTTTGGGAGGCGATGGCCCGATATCCGCACAACGTGTCCAACCCAACGTAGAAGGCGTTGTCGGACGATGGCTTCAATGCTGACGATTTCTGCACATTGAAAAATTTCGGTTTGGGGGACTTTATCTCTCCAAGTAACGTGCAAGATTCGCTGAAGGCAGCCGATGTGGAATTTCTCAAGCAGTTTTATTTGTCGGCTATACAGGGTCCAGCATTCACGGCCGTAGGGCAGTGTTGAAACAACAACAGTTCGAGAGACAGCGACTGTAGTGGCGAGTCGGTGGTTGCTATTAAAGAAGACCCGGAGGCAGAGACGCCTGAAGAATGCGAAGGCGAGGTTTATCCGCCGGAGAATGTCTTCACCCACCAATTATCGGATATGACGCTGCCGAGGTAGATGTATTAGGCAACATTAGACAATGAAACGTTATCAATGTGCAGCCGAACAGCTGGATAACATCGTTTAAACGCTGTTTGATTGACTTCTGTTATACATATATATATATATATATATATATATATATATATATATATATATAAGTTATGAAAAACTTGGTAATCCGTATGGGTAGTCCCAAGGAGGTTGAAATCCTGAGAGCTCAATGTAAATCCGAGTAAATAATTTAAAGAAAAACAGACCACTTTAAGGTTCCATTATAATAATTTATTTCACCAGAGCCCTTTTAAAAGGAACCTGTATCATCAGATAACACAACCAAAAATGAAGCGTTTCATTTTTTGGAAGTGTTATCTGATGATCTAACGTCCTTTATAAGGGCTCTGGTGAAATAAATTATAATGGAACCTTAAATGTTCTTTTTTTTTAATATATATATATATATATATATATATATATATATATATATATATATATATATACACACACATGTATATCTATATATATATATATATATATATATATATATATATATATATATATATATATATTTATACATATATATATATATATATATATATATATATATATATATATATATATATATATATATATATATATATATATATATTATTCCATCAAGAAAAAATTACTTTTATATGACGAAACGGTTTTACACAGACTTTTTTTTCCTCGTGATTAAATTTCCTCATATAAAATACATTCTTACACCCCTTTTTGTTTTTTTGTGTATTTTGAAACAAGGTGTTGGCTACTACCTGTCTATTAGACACATTTTCTCTCAACGTTCATTACGAATTCCTTGTCCGAAGTTGCCAACCATTTCTCTATCTTGTCTACTTTGGCATTAAGGTGCCCATAACAATTTTTGTGACTTACGCTGAGCCTTGGCATTTACGAGTCATGAAAAAACAGAAATATCCCCACTGCACAACAAATATCCACTGTATTAGCCCGTAACTGTAGAATAAACTACGAATGTTTGCTAAACTGTAACTGTCTATAAAATAACATAATCGAAGAAGCTACGGTAAGATCTTAAAACATCATCAAATAACAGAGCACAACACAATCAAAGCAGATATGGCAACCCCAAAAACAAATTAAAACACAGAAAATTATTATAGATAATATTAACAAACAGAACCAGTTAACGGAATTTAATGAGTCAATTTCAGAGATTTGTTTTTGTAAATGATGCCTTATTCTTGTGTAAAGAAAAAATGTTTGGCGTATTTAGATATTCCTTAATCGTATGTATGTGCTCTTTTACATCCGTGCGTGTTTCATCTGCATTGAATTGGCATCGAGCAGCCATTGTTGCGTTTACTCAATGACTCAATTCTTCTTTATCGGCATCAGAATACAAACAATAGTTGAGATCGGAGATAGAAAACGACGAAATATTTGCCTGAAATTTATGACAATTGACGATTACGCCATTTTGGAGAGGAAGCGCTTTCTCATTGACTAAATTCTGTGACATTTGAAGATAATTTCCCTCAAATTCTACGCATGTTTATGATTCCGATTAAAAAGTGAAAAACAATAAATAGATACAATTAAGCTAAATGCAGAAATAAATACGTATATAAATAATGTAAAAAAAAACTTTAACAAGATCATTTACTCAATTTTGTTTATTAGACATTATATTACGTCATATAGCATCTTCCATATTTTACACTGATTTTCAGTTAGCCTGAAGAATATTTATGAGCGTTTCCTAGATTTAACAATTTTGTAAACTAAATAAATAAATGCTTGTTGTAAAATAACATCCTTACATTTGCCTTGTCAAAGTCCATCACGGCGAAACGTGCCGGCTAAGATAAGTTTTCAGTTTGTCTTTAAAGAGAAAAATATCCTCATCCTTATATTTACAAATATATGTGTAAAATTTCAGTTAACTAAAAATATATCTATAAAAAGACAATCTGAATACTTTTAGTTATGCAGAACAGCCTCGGTTCTCGAACGTCTCACATATCGAACAAATCGGTTTTTCGAACAGAATATTCGAGATGAAAATGCCTCGGTTATCAAACAAAAGTTCGGTTCACGAACAACATTGCGGAACCGAGTCTAACCGAGTTAACCCGAACGGAATCATTTCTGAGTCGACCGCCATTTTGTATACATTCGTGTGCTGTGCTTTTCTTTTCTAATATATATATATATATATATATATATATATATATGTGTTGGATGTTACCGTAGCTTTTGAGATTATGTTATCTTCTAGGCATTTAAGTTTAGTGCATATTCTTACTTGATTCTGCAGTTATAGAAGGATATAATGTTTTTCTCTGCTGTGATTTTTCATGATATGTAGTGTTTTCAGTGCATAAGTTTGTAAAATATCCTATCGAATATCTTGTGCAGTTTACTTGAGTTTTGGAAGCGTTTTTCGAAGAGCTTGGTGAATATATTACCCATATTTCTGTTTACGTTTTCACTATATAGTGGGCTGAACTATCTAATGTTGCTGTTTCAGTTGGATTTTTTGTTCTGTTAGATGTAAACATGGAGATTGCAACTTTACTGGTTAGAGGAGGGGAATGGAATTCTTATATTTCTATGTAAGATGGAAAAACAGATAAGAGCAAATTAAGATTGATAAATGTGAACAGACGGATATAGATATACACAGACTGAAATAAATATGAAAGGATTAAAATCGATAATGTGAACAGACTGAGAAAGGTAGGTAATGAGCAGGAATATATTATATGACTTTATATATATATATATATATATATATATATATATATATATGACTAGAATGAACCCATGTATACGTATAACTTGATTTATGTAATGGACTAAAACTAAATCAATATCGGCCTTCGTTAAATTTCCAGAAATCAATGCCACGTGACATGATTGATTGATTCGTTTTTTTACGGTTTATCAACATTTTCAGGTTATTTAAAACCAGAAAATATTTTTAGATTGTAAGAATTTTTTAAGAGAATGACGGTTTAGTGATATAGGTTTTACTATTTAACCCATAGCTAGGGGAAATAGTTTCATTTATACAATTCTCAAGTGTATTTGCGTGTAAGTGAATATAACGAACCCAACAAGAATTTGAACTCGGATCTCCGATTAACAATTCCGAGCCATTGTCCATTACACCACCAGCATGTGCAAGGTTACTGTATCTGGCATTCTTAAGCGGTCACCCTCGCAGTTACTGACTTGGCTCGACGTTGCCTAACTTCATTGATCGTACAGAAACCCGTGTTTCAATGTGATGTAGCGGTAAACTGCTTGGTTATATCTTTTATTGCTAGTGACTAAGCAACAATTGTAGTGTCATGCCAGTATGGGGAAATTTGTTCAGTGTATTGGAATATACGTTAGAGTGCAGGGTGAACTAGATTCATGCCTTTTTGTTGGATAGTTGAAGGAAGATATCATTTAGTGCTTTTACATGATCTGAAATTACGGGAAATTCTACCTGAAGTTAAGCAAGACAAACAGCTAGCTTTATGCTGACCCTACAGATGAATTATTATTATTTATATAGTCGTTTCTGGTCCTAAGGGTTCTTAACTACAAAGTCTATGTTAAGCCAGTCCACCTCTTCTTGGGGAGCCTAAGAATCGATACCACCGCCAACATCGAGATGCCAGATACGATGGTCTTGTTCCGAATTGAAGAAGTTTCTGTATGCATTCCAATAGGAATTAGTTCCCTCCCACTTGATCCAGCAATGACTAAACAATAATGTTCACAGTTATATCACACCATAATCATCACCATCACTCCCCCGAACAGGTGTGGTCTTAGATTCGCCGCGAAGTAGAGTACCCGACTAGTTCATTCCGCATGTTCTGGGTTCATGTGTAACAAATAGACCTGGTGGATACCATCCCTCTCCTTGTCAAACGACAAACAAGGCTCTCCGATGCATAGGCTCGCCTTGGTTATGGACATGTGTCCATTGGTTCCATTAGAGGAACCCACCACCTTTGCCATTGACTTCAGTCGAGGAAATTCTCTACTCAGCGATGCTATGTCATGATTACACTGGATTCATCCATAGCTATAGAGCCCTGTTTAACCCATTGCGCTAGACAGCTGTTGACCCTAAAATAAGATTTGTCTACCCTTTGTCAAGACGTCTTGTTAATCCATTTGAGTGTCTAGCTACCTACCTCATCAGGCAATGCTAGTGTTTAGTCGCTGGTGACCCTAATATTCGGCAAACAGTAGTGGGTTACATTTTAACAGTAGCACCCTTAGCGTGATTTGAAATAAAGGTCATCCTCTATATCTCTTATATAAAGGTCATTCCATGACATAAATGTAAACCCATAGATGTTTTGATTTGAATTCTCTGGACTATTACACCTAGGATGTCGTTGTCGTCGTCGTCGTCGTGTGTGTGTGTGTCTGTGTGTGTGTGTCTGTGTGTGTGTGTCTGTGTGTGTGTGTGTGTGTGTGTGTGTGTGAGAGAGAGAGAGAGAGAGAGAGTGAGAAAATTAACCAGAAGCTCCGTAATATGAAGGACATGTTCTATGGCTAATATAAAGTGATCCAAAGAAGTTGCTTCTAAGTCCGTATCGAGTCCATTCTCCGGACGGGTGGGCAGTTTTTATTGGATAACTGTTAAACTTGTGTACATTTTTATTAGGTTGGTGCAAAAATAATGACGTAATAATGTCGTTTTTTGACGTATTTTTTAACGTCAAAAAACGACAGTATTACGTCATTATTTTTGCACCAACCTAATAAAACTAGTTTTCTGTTAAATATTTTTGTTTTCCATCGTTAAGAAAATTTATGTTGCTCTCAATTAAACTTAAAAACCATTAATTTTCTGGGACTTCGAAAAAATACTTTAACTCCCCTTGAATTCAGAATGCAATTTACGGATTTACTAAACGTAGCTTAGTATGGAGCCCCCAGTTAGAATCAAACTCACTAGTTAGTTGTAATTGATCTAGCGAGACAAGCTTGCTAACCATATGACCACGTCAAAGTGCCGTAAAGTGATTTTATAAGCGAAGCTTAGATGTTACACAAAGCCGAAAGTGTGGAGCACCCAATGAGAATGGAACCTACTACTCAGTAGTAATTGATATGGCGAGACCAACTTGCTAATCATTACACCACGTCGTAGTACCCTACGACGCTATCTCTTCTCTCCCCCCTCACTTCCTCACTTCGTTAATTTACATATGATTAATACAGCCCGTCAAAAATGTGTAAATTTCTTTTCATTTTTCGTTTCAACCTTTGAAAGAAAAGTCCGATAATCCACAGTCCTTTAAAAGGGCTGTGGTGAAATAATTTATTCCATGGAACCTTAAAGTGGTCTGTTTTTATTTAAATTATTTGCTCTCGATTTACATTGAGGTCTCTGGATTTTATCCTCTTTGGGTCTACCCATACGGATTACCTAGTTTTTCATATATATATATATATATATATATATATATATATATATATATATATATATATATATATATATATATATAGTGAGAGAGAGAGAGAGAGAGAGAGAGAGAGAGAGAGAGAGAGAGATATATCTTAATTTTGTACATATGTATATTTTGGCATATGTGATTTCCTCATATTCTAATACTAAGCTTATGGTCCAGGTGAAAGGAGGATTCACCTAGAGAGGGTCTGAGTTTATGGCCTGGCGTCTGAGGCCTCTGTATAAGAGGAAATTCCGAGGGACCTTGAGAATATTTCCATGGTACGGCCGATAAACATATTTTAAAAACCATGACCTTGTGTCACACCTGGTTTCGTGTGGGCACGCTGGTTAATACTTATAATATTTTGACGGAAAATTTAATGGCTTCTCTGGTTGTCAACCGTTAAACTTTGGCAGCTTATCATTTAAAACATAGTAAATGCGTCCAGCTGCGTATAAAGATTTTAACGTCAAGAATGTTAATGTTAGATTATTCGCGGAAATAAAATAAAAACAAGAATTATTGGTTCGGGACATTTATGCTTCTAGCATTGATATATGTTTGTTTTCTTCTTAAAAGCTAGAATGAAAGTGTTGTGCGGGAGAATATTTTCCCATAAAGTTTGGACTAGGTCGCCGAACGGAAGAAATAAAAAAAACTCCTACATCAAGAGGAGTAGCAGCAGGAGCAGTAGTAGCAGTAGCCTTTCCTGAAAACATTTAATCATTCCCGGCTAAACATTTTCTTCCTTAATTTCTTTTCTAGATTATGTTTCCTTGTACGAAAAGGTAATAAACTTGTTGTATAAATTCCCGTTTTCTACTGTTGTTTTTGAAAACTCAGTTATAATACAAAGAAAATTTTATAATATCAATACTGGAGTTTCACTGCAAAAGTTAATAACTTTGGAAACAAATAGTCAACGTTGACGGAAGTCGTTACCGAGTACTGCAATGTTCATCAACATGAGTTTTATGTTGGAACTGAAGGCACCACTGCATGGTAATGTAGGAAGGATCAATTGATGAAGAGCTCTGGCTTTTCTTTGGGATTTTTTTTCCCTCTCTTCTATTTGTCTTCTGGTGTTTTCGAAGGATGTTGTTTTTTTTTTCGTGGACTGCCCTTCTCCAATTTGTTCTTTCTGCAGCTTCCGCCTCCCAAATGACAGGATTAAATTCTATTCTCAACAACGGTCTTTAAGCATGAAAGCCTTGGCTGCGAATTGTTTGAGATGGTCAATGGCTCTCCACTACATGGCACACACACACACACACACTTCTGCTGACACCATCCGCTGCGGCAGACCAGTATTTGACAGACAGTAAATACTATATAAACGGATTTGTCAAAAATACCAAATAGAACAGAATAAGATCCAGGGCCATTTGACGAACAACTATAGTAGACACTGTGAAGAGCAACATGAAAAGAATCTCTATCTATAAAAGGCAGGATGTGTGTGTGTGTGTGTGTGTGTGTGTGTGTGTGTGTGTGTGTGTGTGTGTGTGTGTGTGTGTGACGAATGCACGGCCGCAATTTTCGACGGATTTGCACCAAAATTTACATGCACATGTTCCAAGTTAGCGGAAAGGCCAAGACCGACTTTGCATTTCCCAACTCCCATCGATAGTGGAAATAATAACTTTTTTCATGCTTCTACGGCAGTTTTCATGTAGTTTGCGGCCATTTTCTACTGGCCAGAGTGAGAGCCTATAGCTGTCTGCCACGAATAAGCAGGAAGATTCTACTGGCCAGCGTGAGAGCCAACAGCTGACTGACTGACACGAATGTTAACTAGCATGCTAGCATGCAAAAAAAATCGATAGCTGCATTGTTCACAAGTGGGAAAAATTTAAAATGGCACTTTAATCCAATTGGCTCATTCGTTTGCTTAAACTCAACGTTGATTCTGATTCCGTAGAACTGGGTTGGGTGTGGAAAAGTATCTGTTGTTAACATTCTTTTTTCATTCGGTTTTTCCAGTTATGAGTCACTTTTTTTAAAGCTGATCGTTTTGTGTTCATTTTCTTTCGTTTTTTTCGTAACAGATTTAATGTTTAGTATAGAGCTTAGGAAAAAATGGAAGTGTGAGGGAGGCAAGAAGGGCATGTAGCAACATCAGCACGGCAAAGGGCACTCCTTCAAAAGAAAAGGAAGGGGCAAAATATTTTTAAGTCAAGGATAGCGATTGCTGTATGAGTCGTACGATTTTTTAATCAAGCACGGGCAACGCCGGGCCATGCTGCTAGTCATCAATAAAATTCTATCATTACCCGTAAAAAATTTAAAAAAATGGAATTTGGAAGACCTGCAGCACTTTCGTGATTTAGCATAGAACACGGAGGTTTGGAGAGAACTGCTAAGAGATATTTGCAAAGTTGCTGAAGATGTGAACCGCAATAATTTGAAGTGTCGAAACAACTTTCATAATGATTATGATATGTGATATTTTTAAATAAACTGTATTTATCACAGTATACTATTTGCATTGCTCGAAACGTTGTGATAAATATAGCAACAAAGATGAGGATGATCCTCCGAGCAATGTAAATAGTGTACATAATACCTCATCTCAGAAATATAGACAGTTATCGCAGTATGTTGAATATTAATTAACATTTATTTATTTACTCATTACGATCATTAATTTTTTCTTTCATTTTTTTTGCAGGTAAGTTCGTATTTTTTCCCAAACTGTGAGTATGAATTTCTGAATTAACAAATCGTTATGTGGTTATATATATATATATGTGTGTGTGTGTTTCTGTATGTTATAGTATATCTAATATAATTATGCCAAAAAAGAAGAAGACTGCCATTATATATCTTTGAGTATCGGTTTCATTTAAATACACATGGAGACCCTACCAAACTCTATCCACAAGAATTGGATAAATTGTGTATTAGTTTTTTTAAGTTTTTTTTTTGTTTTTGTTTTTGTAGCGGTCACAATTTAATTTCTAATTCCGATATGAACTCAGGGGTTGAATAATTAAGGAATTTTTCATCTATTGAAATAAATCTTTTCCCCATTTGAGGTAATTTTGAATTTCATTGTGTACTATTTATTTGACCCTACCCTCTATCTATCTCTTTTCCGTTTAATCTCTCTCGCTTTTTCTTTCTTGTTTCTCTCTCTCTCTCTCTCTCTCTCTCTCGCTTTAGTCATAGCATTCTCTCTCATTCAATCGCTTTCTCTCTCGCTGCACCTCCTCCCACCACCCTACTTTTCATCTAATTGTTATCGTTTTTTCTCTTTTGTTTTCTCTCGCTTACCTTCTTGGCCAGCTCTGTTGCAGACCATGGTCTTTCGCCCAGCTTAATATTGTATTTTAGTAGGCATATAGTAAAGCTTCCACGGGGATTCGACACACTATTAATTTTCTCATTGTTCTTCGAGCTGTTATCCTCTCCAAATAGTCCCGGACCCGAGATTCAAGCTAACCATGTCGGCCCCAGATCTTTATTTTAACCACCCAAGAAAGGCCAAATATAAAACGATGTGCTTATTGCAGAAAATACCTGGGCCCCTCGCACTTCTCAACAGAGATGTTTATACACCTAACTCTTACTTCGTTACAGAAACACGTCGAGCCTGGTCAGTAGGTAAATGCGTGACCGCTTGAAAATACCAGCAGCTGTAAAGCTTGGATGTGCAGGTGGTGTAATGGATAAAGGCTCGGTATTGTAAATCAGAGTGTCGAGTTCCAATTCCAGTTGGTTATATTATATTCACTTACGCGCAAATACCTTTGTGAAATGTAGGAATCCACTTCGTCTCTTCCCAGCTATGGGTTAATTAGTAATACTTGCATCAGTAACTCATTATTATCTCAACAAAATCTTTAGAATCTTAAAATATTTTATGGTATTAAATAATCTCCAAAAAGGTTGATATCCCATAAAAAACAACTTCACGCCTACACTGCTGACTACAAAAAATAAATGTTTTCTGGTTTAACGGTATATTTATTTGTACATTGAAGGATGCACTGAGTAATACATCTAATACCAAGCAACCATGGCCAAGTCGAATGTGCGTATGGCGTAAGGGATAACGGCTGAGAATCAGAAGTCGGTGAGTCGAGTTCGAATTCCAGTCGTGTTCATTGCTTTTGCTGGCGCGAAAATACCCTTTGGAAATATATGAATCCATCTCCACCCCAGCTATGGATTAAATATAAGGTGTTTCAATACCTTGGATCGATTTTAAATGTGAATTAAGTTTAAGCGTCTAATGATTTTTTTCTTTTTCTTTCAGATTTAACAACTTAAGTTTTTGACAATTTCAACCCTGGAAAGATTAACAATCAAACAACGTGTTAAAGTTGTCGAAGCCTATTATGAAAATGGACGTTCAAACAGAAATGCATTTCGCGTTTTTTTTTTTTTTTTTTTTTTTTTGAGTCAACATAATCGACCAACCAAAGAGCGAAGTTGGAAAGATTCTTCGTAAATTCAAACAAACTGGGTCGGTGGCAGATGTGAAAACACCATTGGGTGCTCGTTTACGCCTTTCATATGAAAACATTGTTGCAGTGTACGAGAATGTGGCCGAAAATGCAGACCCCCCTCTATTCGTTATCGCGCGCAAGAATTGAGCCTCTCCACAACAACGTTACATCGAATTTTGACAAAAGATTTTTCTCTACACGCTCACAAAACTCATTGACACATGAACAGAAACCTTTTGACCGTGCATTCGTCAGTTGGCTGAACGTGCAAAGGCAAGCCGATGAAGATTTTTCGCAAAAATCCTCTTTAGGGATGAAGCCCATTTTCATTTTGTTAATATGCAGAATTGTCGCATTTGGGCTGATGAAAATCCAAGGAAGATTGTTGGAAAGCCACTACATCCACAAAGGTCACTAATTGGTATGCATTTTTTTGCAAGCGGAATCACTGGACCGTATACATGTGAACGTCCATTTTCGTAATAGGCTTCGATAACTTTAACCCGTTCTTTGATTGTTAATCTTTCCATGGTTGGAATTGCCAAAGACTTAAGTTATTAAATCTGAAAAAAAATCATTAGACGCTTAAAGTTAATTCGCATTTAAAATCAAAGAGTTCAATCAGAAATGCAATGAGAATTTCTCGGGTCACATCGAAACAGCGAAGTCAATTAACATTTAAAATCGGTCCAAGTTATTGGAAAACTCTATAGTAGAACTACAGTCATTAAAAAATGCTTAATGCAATATTCACTCATTAAATTCATTATTCTTACAATATTCTTTAAATATACTTCAGCTTTTCAATAATGCAAGAAGTTTTGATAACGTTTTGGCCGTTGTACGTTCCGGCCTTCTTCAGGTGGTTGGAATGTCGAACTGAACCCTTAATTTCGCTCACTGGGGTAGACTGTTCTAGTTCCACGTGCTATGTTTAATGGATGTCAGTTAACAGTTATCTCCTGTTAATTTCCCTCTGAAAGTTCTCCACTGCCTTAATCTGAGGAAGGCCGGAGCGTACAACGCCCGAAACGTTGTAAGATATATGGCGACAAAGATGAGGACCATAGTCCGAATAATCTAAATAATGTATATAATACATCATCTCAGAAATATAGGCAGATATTGAAGTTTTGATAATCCTTAAAAAAAAACAATCAAGTGGTAACTTAGTGCCACGGATATAGAATTTTAGCGTTGACTCCTTTCCATCTGCTTAAAATAGGGAGATGTTTTCTGGGAAATGGAGCATTTATTTGTATATTCAGAGACGGCATAGACAATGTCATTTTAATGGTTAAATACTCCAAAATATCGGGCCAGTAACACGGGTCTCAGGTTGATCACTAACCCTACCTCTTTTCATCTAATTATCTGATGTTCACATAGCAGCTCAACTGACTACAGGTGTAATGTATATATATTTTCTGAGCGAACCTAAGCGTTGTGGACCCGGAAGAGGTCCGAAAGAAAACTCGAACTCAGCAATTCAGTGAAAACAGATTACAGTGTAACCCGGATATAAGAGACCCGGATATAAGAGAAGCCCGGATATAAGAGAAATTTTCACCGGTCCCAAATTAGAGCCTGTGTTAATGTATATACAGTGTAACCCGGATATAAGAGACCCGGATATAAGAGAAACCCTGATATAAGAGAACCCGGATATAAGAGAGATATTCTCTGGTCCCAAATTAGAGCCTGTGTTAATGAATATAAAATAGACCAAACCCGGATATAAGAGAAACCCGGATATAAGAGACTTCTTCTCCGGTCCCGACAACTTTCTTATATCCGGTTTACACTGTAGAATAGACCAAACCCGGATATAAGAGAAATCCGGATATAAGAGACTTCTTCTTCGGTCCCGACAACTCTCTTATATCCGGGTTACACTGTATTACCAAAAAGAACGAATACAGAAGTGTTGCACGTCTGTCTGACGGCTAAGTACAGTAGTCAACTCGTCACAGTATTTAACAGTCCCCCGACGAGGAATGTATGTGGCACAAGGCCGAGTTTAACGTGGGTTTCTCCTAGCCCGTAGGCTCGGCCAAAAAATATACCCTTTGAACCCGCCTAGACGGATCGGGGCCCTGTCTACCTCCCCGGACGAAACCTTGCCCTTCGGCAAAGCTTCGTCCGGATTCCTCTCTGCCAAAGCAGAGAGTTCGACAGAAGTCGTACACGTAGTCAACCTTAGTCACCTCGTCACCAGTCTACAGTCCTCTTGCGAGGCATAATATAGTCATAAGATGAGTTTATTTTGTCCATGAAGGTAGGTCCCCATAACACTAAGTCTGATGAAGTGCAATCAGATGGAATCAAACTTCATAGTTTGACCTCCAGAACACAATCATTAATACGACCTTACAAGGATTTTATTGTTGTCTGAATTTCTGGGATGGGCAGTTATTATTTACATCATACATATTCAAACTATTGTCGTCACCTTTGTTGTTACGGAACAATGTCCTGGTGAATAAGCGTGTTGATTTATGAATTTGGTAGCATAGTAAGTTCAATCCCTGGACTCAGTGGAAACGAACGAGCCATAATTGAACAGTGTCAAATAAATATAAGAACTAAACTAGATATCCTTCGCCATGAGCAGTAAAATGAAAACAGTCTAACCCTGTATTAAAGTTTATAAAATATGAGAAAAGACAGCTTTGTGAATTTAACGTTCATAGGACATAAATCGGAGGGAAGAAGTTAGTAAGACCCTTCACGAGTTTGTGTGAAGAAATGGTAAAACAGAGAAAAGAAAATGAACTAAAGTGTCAAAAATTTCTTAAATCTACAAAAGAGAACGAAGTGGAGAGCCATAATCAATCACGTTCTTAAAGAACATGACATATAAAAGAAGTCTTTTATTCTTAATGAGAGCTAATCTATCATGGCCCTAAGAGGGTGGGCTGAAAAGTTCATCGGCTGACTATGTCTATTTACAATTAGTTATTTTGAAGTCTTCTTTGAAGAGTCAGATATCAGATTATCTGGAAAGAAACAATGTCGTTATAAATAAGAGTCCAAATTAATGCATGCATGATTTCACCGCTTTAGGATCAGTCCCTTCATAGTCAGCCTATGAGCTTTTCAGCCCACTTTCCGACCTAGAAAGGAACAATTTCGTTATAAATAAGAGTCCAAATTAATGCATGCATGATTTCACCGCTTTAGGATCAGTCCCTTCATAGTCAGCCTATGAGCTTTTCAGCCCACTTTCCGACCTAGAAAGGAACAATGTCGTTATAAATAAGAGTCCAAATTAATGCATGCATGATTTCACCGCTTTAGGATCAGTCCCTTCATAGTCAGCCTATGAGCTTTTCAGCCCACTTTCCGACCTAGAAAGGAACAATGTCGTTATAAATAAGAGTCCAAATTAATGCATGCATGATTTCACCGCTTTAGGATCAGTCCCTTCATAGTCAGCCTATGAGCTTTTCAGCCCACTTTCCGACCTAGAAAGGAACAATGTCATTATAAATAAGAGTCCAAAATTAATGCATGCATGATTTCACCGCTTTAGGATCAGTCCCTTCATAGTCAGCCTATGAGCTTTTCAGCCCACTTTCCGACCTAGAAAGGAACAATGTCGTTATAAATAAGAGTCCAAATTAATGCATGCATGATTTCACCGCTTTAGGATCAGTCCTTCATAGTCAGCCTATGAGCTTTTCAGCCCACTTTCCGACCTAGAAAGGAACAATGTCGTTATAAATAAGAGTCCAAATTAATGCATGCATGATTTCACCCTTTAGGATCAGTCCTTCATAGTCAGCCTATGAGCTTTTCAGCCCACTTTCCGACCTAGAAAGGAACAATGTCGTTATAAATAAGAGTCCAAATTAATGCATGCATGA